CTTAGAATAAGACAAAAGTACAAATAGGTGGTGGTGGTGGGAGGTACCTTTACCATTAACTTGTTGCTGGCAAATATTTACTTGGGAAAATAATCCCATTTTGAGATCTACTTGGCACCTAACCAATTTTTACAGTTGCAGAGTCTCTCTAAAGGGCCCAAGCCCTTCACATTAGATCCTATAAGTGAGAATTTAGTGATCACAGGTATTTGTTAACAATACAGATATTGATTCAGTAGGCTATTCCAAGGAAGTCTAGCTACTAAAAAATCACTAGTGTACTAAAAATGCAACTTTATTCAGAAAAAAAAATAGTATTTTAAAATTTCTAGATAATCCCCATGATGAGAGTCAGTTGATGGTTCCTGTCACAGTGAAAATTATCCAATCCAGAGACTGCAGAATTCCCTCTTGAAATCCCTATATAGTATAATACTGAAAGACTAAACTGACATAGCAGAAAGCACACAGATTCCTGACAAGGCTATCTCTTTGTCAGCTCTTTTGGGGTGGGAGTGGGGCAGCAGATTAAGTTATGTGGTTTGGGAATTAATGAGTCTCTGTTATGTTATACCATCCTGAGTAAGCCAACGAGTATAATCTAAACCTCCCTCAAAACCAAATTTTATGTAGCTGACACATAGGTTCCTAGCTATAATGGCTCCTCTACTGCAAACATTTCCATATTAGACAAGTATCATCAACAATCATCGTAAAACATTTTAAATGATTTAAAATGACAAGAATTTTAAAGAGTATAATAACCAAGGCCTACATGTTAACAAAACTATAAAAGCAGCTTGCAATGTGGTTGTCGGAAATATGATCATAAACAAATTTAAATTTAACCCTTCATAATAATTAAAGAGTAACAAATTTGTACACAAAATAAAAATTTTCAGAGGGACTTAACTTATGAGACAAGAAATAAAAATAGTTCGCACCTGCAGTGTACAATTCTCTTTTCTTTTGAGGAACTCCACAAACCTGGCCACTACTCCTGGTGTGCTGATAACTTCATCAATAGGAGGATTAGGTTCTGTTTCCCCATAAAATAAAAGGAAAAAAGAAAAACAATCCTTTGATTTCAATGCAAAGACTTTTATAGGTCAAAATTACTTCATAATATACCTCCCTCCATTTACCATCTCTCTCATGTTAGAAATCTATCCAAAAAAAAGAAGAAAATGTAAAATTGAGTTCACTCACTTTGAGATTGGAATAGTTTGAAAGGTTTCACAAAGAAGATAAGCCTTAATATGGGAATGAAAGGATGGGCAGATTTCTTCTGTCCTTTTTAAATATTTTTTGGGGGGACGTGCACGGCTAGCCAATGCAGGGATCCGAACCCTTGACCTTGGTGTTATAAGGCTATACTATAATCGACTGAGCTAACTGGCCAGCCCTAGGAAGGGCAGAATTCTTAAAACTTAAAATTATTGTCTCCATTATTTTTGAAAACTTAGAAAGCACGGGGGAAAAAACATCCACATCCAACCACTATTAGTACTTTGGTATATTTCCTTCTAGCCCTTTTTCTATACATGAATTTTCAGTTGTCTGTTTTTGTTTAATATAAATTATCTTGAGAAACTGCATCACGGGATTCTCAATGTGCTAGCAGGATTTAATTTTGCACCTGTCATGATAAGTAGGAGCCAGCAAAAATTCACTAAGATTGACTTGCCAAATTAATCTCATTTCCATTTAAGATAATACAATATCTTATAAATAAAGCCATTCAATAAAAACCTACTGAGTGAATACATAGGAAATGTGAGAGATAATCAACAAATTCAACAAGAGATTTGACAAAGTTTTTGACTATATGCATGTGGCAGTGCCAGAAAAAAGGCAGATCACAGTACTACTAAGGAGATTCTTAGCCAAGTCAACCACTTTACGGAAAGAGGTGACTTATGGTTCAATGTTAATTTGGAGAGGTCTCTAACAGACGTGTCCTTTGCCTGGTTCAACATTTTCATTAACCATTCAGATAAACACAACAAATTTGATTATTACAATAAAGATCAAC